GCGGGGTCCCTCTGCCCCCCGGTCTGCGGGCGCTCCGGGGCGGCGGGGGCCGGGCCGTGCTTGGGGGGCGGACCGGAGGGCTCCCCCAGTGCCTCAGCCCTGCTGGGACCAGTGCTCCCAGTCATCGTGCCTCCTGGGAGGCCCGCACGAGTACGGTGGACGTGGAGACCGGATCCTCATCGATCACAGCCTGAGGCCCCGCTCCCTGATACTCTATTTATGAATTTTTGTAGCACACTTGTTCAGAATTTGGGGTTATTTTACACGCTGGGAGGTAAATAAATCCCCACCGAGGCCTCTGTGCTCAGTACCACCACCAGAGCCAGCCAGCGCAGCTCCGTCAGCCTCGTTTCCTGCCAGCGTGCGCCGGGGTGCAGCATTTCAGCACCCCAGTGAGTATGTGCCACTGTGTTCTCTCATGCTGAGAGATCTCTCCCTGCCTAAAGACCCGCCTTAGTGAAGGAAGAAACACTGGAGCTTCAGCACAGGAGAAATGATCACAGTTGAAAAGAGGAAAAAAATGTTTCAGCTGCACCCCCCCCTTGATACAAAACAGGAAATATTGGATAAGTTAAATTGCCAGCGGTAGAGGTTGAGCAGGGACTAAAGGCTCCTCACTCTCTCACGTGAAATGTAAAGTTTGAAAGAAGAACTGTAACTGCAGCCAGCTAACCTGTGAGATTGCCACACCAGACACGTGGAAAGGGAAAAAGGGTTGCCTTTTTCATCTACCATCCCTTTCTGTCTGTTGATGAGCACTATGGAGCAACAGATATGATTAAAAATGACCTGAAAATAGATGTTAAAATAAAAATTAATCTTGTCAAGGAATAAAAACCTTATTTTGTGGCGGTCTGCTAGCGCACTACCAGTCTAAAAATTTGATTTCAGAGTCTAGAAATAGTTGTGTTGTTCAGCAAGTCCTGCTGTAGCCTTCAGCTCAGGTGAGGATCTTGTGCCAGGAAGAACAGAACTGCTTTACAGATGGTAAGTAAATTTGAAAGGGAATTATTGGCAGTGATGACATTTTACATGTTCAAAGGATATAATCCAAAATACAAGTATCTGGGCGTTTGCTGTATTTGAGCAATGTCTAGATGGCACAGAAGTTCAAAGGAAAAATGATAGCTGTCAGAGAGCTGGGGATCTGGTTTGATTTAATTCCTACTGAGCACTGAAATAGAAATTGAAGTAAAGAGAGGTTAGGTTGTTCAAAAATACATAAAAATGAATGGAGTTGTTTCCTATTAAATGGGCTTTTGTCAATGGATGGGGAGTTTTTTCTCATTGGACTAGTGAAATAAGTGCTGATAAAAATTTAGCTTTCTGTACCGCCACAAAAGTTGCAGTGCTGTGTGATGCCACACTCAGTGCAGTCAGTCTATCGCGAAGAACAAGCAAAAAAAATCCTCTTAGGAGGTCCCTCTTGTCATTAAAAAGAGCTGAATTTGTTTCAGCTTCTGATAAAAATCTCTTAAATGGAATGCCAGGCCATACTGGAACACCAGGCCACCTCTCCACTTTTCTTCTTGTAGGTGGGGAACTACCTGCGTATGTTTCGGGGTTCCCTGTACAAGAGATACCCCTCGCTCTGGAGGCGACTGGCCACAGTGGAAGAAAGGAAGAAGATAGTGGCCTCTTCACATGGTGAGAGGATGAGTAAACATTCCTAGTAATGTTTATCTGAAATTTTGCCTTGAAAACCAGTCTGTGGTGATTCAGAACCCCCTTTAGGGCTGTGCGAAACGCTTCAGCTGCCCCAGTGAGGGAGCAGTCTGCAGCGGTGGCACTGGTAGCCCCTGGTTCAGCCTAGCAACAAACATCAACTGATGAAAAATGTTCTAAAATCGAAACACCCAGCATGGCTTTCCTGGGGTTGGCTGCATTCATCACCAAGCAAAAGCCACGTCTCAAAATCAATACTGTATTTCAGAAGAGACTTTTACAGACAGAGGGGCATTTTTGTCCCTTTTGTCATACAGGCAGGAATGGTGCAAGGATGCCCCATGGAAAATGTGGCATCATCTCTGCTGAACTTTGCATTTTGCAGGGACTGAATGCTGATGCCTCGTGGAATTTGTTGTGGTGTGTTGCCACTGATGTGACTGTCACAGTGGGAATATAGCTGCCTCGGTATTATTTTTGGTGGGAGACTGGTAACAAGCAGCAAAATTTCCCAGCAAGGTGACTCGCTGTACACTCTAGACTAAAACATAATAAAAATAAATGGTTCATTCTGGACTTATGTCTCCTTCCTCCAAGCATCCTACTGACCTTTTGCTTTCTTTTCTTTTTTTTTCCTTCCCCCAACAGAAAATCAGCGATCTCACAGTCCCAGACGATGTAAGTCTTTATCTGCCTGTTATTCTTAGCTGTGCTAGAGGAAGAATCTCTATTGTGACCTTTGGTGCTATTACAATTTATATTAATGTCTAATCCTCTTCCTCTGATCTCTCCCTGTGGTCGCCCTTATTGCACATCCTGATCACATTCTCAACTCTTCTTTCTCACAACCTTAGCGAGACTCTCAAGTGCAGATGGTCTTGGTAATTCAGCAAGAGCTGTCCTGAGGTTTCTCCTCCTTCCCCAAGTCTTACCAGCTTTCCTATTGATCATTGCTTCTCTATTCCCAATCTGTAAGTCCCCTGAGGATGGATTGTTTTCTGGGCTTTTTCTCCCAGAAGGCTGTGGAAGAGATTTTACATCATTTTCACAGATGTAGGTGTGCAGAGCTAAACCATGTGATTGCAAATGGCAACTCAGGGTAGGAAAGAATTGGTTTTTTCTTCCTCTCCTTAAGTAAAAGTACATTAAATTAAAAGTTTACCTAATAATTATGAGGATTTAATGACTTTTTTTTTCCCCCTGAAGTTCTGTTTTTGTAACATTCACTTCCTTCTTAAGTAAATTTCATAACAGAAATGACCAGAGTCTATAAGTAAGTTGCACCCTGGAAGAATGAGGCTCACCCAGTGGTAGTACGTGAGGGAAGCTCATGTAATTCTAACCCTCTCTGTGTCTTGTCTCCTAGTACAAATGGCAGATGTTTTTAATAGAGTATCAGCAGGGCAGCTCTACAAAATAGAGATGCTTATGCCTTTTGCAAATCTTTGCTTTATCGCTATGCAACCGTTCCAAGGTGTCATCTTGCTTTTGTCTTTAGAACTGTATTTCTTCTCTAGGCTTTGTGGTGAGGATTGCCATGTATTAACTAAGACATTCCACCCCTGCTCCAAGGAAATCATTTATTCCTGCTGCTGTTTAGATGGATGTCAAAACCAGATTCTATTTCTTTAGGGGCAGGCACTGTGGCTGGGATCCCAGTCACTCCAGTGCAAGTACTTGTCCTGGTTTTTAGCTGGGACAGAGCTGGGTTCAGTGCTAGCCCAGTGAAACCACCACAGTACTCTACCCCAGTAGCAGAGCAGCCTGCTGTGTGAGGGAGAGTGGAGGCTTCTGGCAGCTCAGAAATGACAGTGGAAAGCTTTGCTGTCTCCATTTATCCCTTGTGTACAAAACACCATGTCAAAACCTGTCTCAAAAATTAAATGTCTACGAGAAGATAAATGAAGCCCACAGGACTTTTGGGGCACAGGCTCATACCACTGGGTAACCTGGTTTAGTCCCTCGTGCAGCCTCAGGGAGGGCTTTTCACTATGCAGCCTGTTAATGGCACACTGCTATGTAGTACTTTTCCATGTTAATTGTTGGCATCTTTCCTGGCAATAGATCACGGTTATACAACTTTAGCCACTAGTGTGACGCTGTTAAAGGCCTCTGAAGTGGAAGAGATCTTGGATGGAAATGATGAGAAGTATAAGGCAGTGTCTATCAGCACAGAACCTCCCACCTACCTCAGGTAACCAGCGGCGGAGAGGGCCAAGATTAGAACGGAGCTGCCTGGAAGATGTCAGCTTGGGCAGGAAGCATAAGAAATGGCATGAACCTGGGCTGTTGTGCAGGGAGGTGCTTCCCAGTCTGTGCTAACAGACATTTGCACTGTTGGGCAAGTGAAGGTCTGCAGAGCGTAAGGATTGGGTTACTGCCCACATACAACAGGAAGAAAAACATAAGTGTTTGATGATACAGCTCTTTTAGCAATTACTGCATTCCAGCTGTAACAGATGTTTTGCAGAACACACTCTCTGCACGTACTGTCTTCTGGAGACAGTGCATTTATCAGCAGTCTCTTTGTAGAAAATCCAAATATGAACCTGGTATTTATAATGGTGCACCTGGATTCATACCTGCTGAATTGTGAGCTGGAGAATGGGCTTCTCAGAGGCTAATGTGGAACAAGAGTGTTGAGGGTTCCAGAATAAAGTAGCAGGAGCTCATAATAGGATTTAAAGGTTAAAATTTTATCATTCCTTAAGTAGTAGCAGTGGTGCTGAGGGTCTGCAGTGTAACATACAGTCTCCTTCTTCAGAGAACAGAAGGCAAAGAGGAACAACCAGTGGGTGCCAACCCTGCCCAACAGCTCTCATCACCTGGATGCGGTGCCGTGCTCAACAACCATTAACAGAAATCGCATGGGCAGGGATAAGAAGAGGACGTTCCCTCTGTGGTAAGACAGCTCCCTGTTTCTGAAAAGTGGAACCTGTTACCAACACAGGGTAGTGCTGACATGTTAGTGTTGTGATTCATCTCTGGCAAAAGACCTACATGTTGCTAATTTGGAGGTTCTAAGTTAAACTGTATGTCTTGAGGCTCTTCCTTACAGGGACCAACCAAAGCTCAGAAAGGAGACTTTCTTTTTGTCAGGAAAGTGGTTCATTCTTTTCCTGATGAGTTCCTTCTACTTTCTGCTGATTTGCTGAGCAGTTGTTATTTGAGAATCCTGCAAACCCTCTCTGTGAAGGACAGGCTGTCTTTCACTGACATATTCCAGTAACTGATCTAATTTATTCAATGGAAAATACTGCTGTTGCTCATGATTAACTTTTATTTTCCATTACTATAGTTCAGGAAGCCAAGATAAAATGTAATCCTGGGAAGCTTCCTTGTTTGATTTGCAGGAGTGTGTTACGATAGGTGCAGGAGAAGGTGATAAACTGGTATTGGTGGCCGTAGCCCTGTAAGCTCGTGTTGAGGAGTCTGTAAAGACTGATCAGGGAGCTGGAGTGGGGGGGTCGCTTCCAACAAACATTGCCTTGCCCCTAGGGGTGCCTGATGCCTCCTGTGCTGATTGCATATACCACGCTGTTCTCTTTGTATTAGCTTTGATGACCATGACCCAGCAGTGATCCATGAGAATGCATCCCAGCCAGAGGTTCTGGTGCCAATCAGACTTGATATGGAAATTGATGGGCAGAAACTCAGAGATGCCTTTACGTGGAACATGAATGGTATGTAGGAAGGAGAGTTTCGTGAGCTGGAGAGATACAATTGTATCCCCCACCGAACAGGAAAAGAGAAGGGGCATGAGAGTGCATGTCCTTGCCCTGTATACAGAGTGTTACAGCTCTCTGGCTTTGGACTGTCTTCAGCTCTGGTGTCTCTTAGCGAATGCTGCTTCCATGGGTTGCAGTCATTCCTGTGCACGTGTAATCTGAAGGGGTTAACTGGCATATTCTCCTGAACCAGTTCATCAGCTCAGCAGTCTGAGACTGCTCTGTTAGCTGAGGTACCTTGAATACCAACCAGTTAATGTGTATGGCTTCTTTTTGTGTGTGGCTTGTTAGACCATAGCTATGTTGTCTCCATGGAGCAACTAAAGGTGGCTGTAAGTCCCTGTGTCAGTGTGCACATCCTCACAAACCTGATACAAAGCAAAAGGTGATGTGTTTGGGATTCCCTTTGACACACTGTGGGATTATTTTTGTGCATTTCTTAAGTGGCAGACGTTGATTTATAAGAAAGTTAACAGTGTCTCTTCATTCTTGTTCTGTATCAGAAAAGCTCATGACCCCAGAAATGTTCTCTGAGATTCTTTGCGATGACCTGGATTTGAATCCTCTGACTTTTGTCCCTGCTATTGCCTCTGCCATCCGACAACAGATTGAGTCCTACCCAACTGACAGCATCCTAGAGGATCAGTCAGACCAACGAGTTATTATTAAGGTAATACAGGAAGTCAGTAGAATAAGAGCTGAACCATTTGTGTTTCTCTGGTTATGTTATAGGGGGGGCAAGAGCACAAAGGCTTCCCTCAGAGCAAAGGAGCTCTTAATTCCAGTCCTGCGTCCAAACTGCATTTTGTCCTTTGTATTGAGAACAGAACCAAGGTGGCAGGTAACTAAACACTTAAGTGCCAGCCTCTGAGGTGACGAAATAGTTCAATGAAAGCATTGTCGAGTCCTTTTGGAAGAACTGAACCTTGCTGAGCAAAGCTGAATTGTCTTCCTGCTACTGGAATTGAGAGTTCAGTTAAGGAGCTCTGCAGATGCACTGAACTAGGAGTTACCTCTCCGCTTCTCTTCTCCAGCCTCTGCCTCCTCAGTTAAATTACCTTGGATAAACTGTTGTGAGAGTGGAAACAAATGACCTGTTTCTTCCCTTGTCTCCAGCTAAACATCCACGTAGGGAACATCTCCCTTGTAGACCAGTTTGAATGGGACATGTCAGAGAAGGAGAATTCACCAGAGAAGTTTGCCTTGAAGCTGTGCTCAGAGCTTGGCCTGGGGGGGGAGTTTGTCACTACTATTGCCTACAGCATCCGGGGACAGCTGAGTTGGCATCAGAAGACGTACGCCTTCAGGTACAGAGCTGTCATGTTCCTGGTGTGGGTGTGTGTTTGTACTTTGTGAGCATTGCATCAATGAATCTTGGAAGAGCTGGCCTGATGCAGAGAGTTTCCTTTGAAACTGGTCCCTGTGGCTTGCACCCGTTCTGTGCTCCTTACAACTTTTTGTGTTTGTGCTCAAGTATCTTTTCCTGTTGGGTGTAATACATTCCAGGACCAGATATTGATGAAATGTCAGCTTTTGCCACAGAATGAAAGGCTGTTGTAATTAACAGTGACCAGATACCTCGTGTCTCCCTCTTCTAATGTACACTAATGCTGAGCCCCAGATGCATTTCTGTTTTGTTGGCTTGGCCTGACTTGCCCCATCCACTGTCTCAAGCTTTGATGTTGTGAACTAAGACTGATTCAAACTGTAGCTGCCTGCCCTGGCTGATGTTAAAATTGGCTTCATCATAGTCCCTTCTCACAGCTGGAATGCAGCAGTGTCAGGTTTGATTAGTCAGCTTTGTGACTTGTCTCCTCCTGGTAATTGTTTCCAGTTGTGCTGTGCAGCATTCTGTGGTGAGTTACTGCACTGATGTTATCCTCAGCATGCTGCTGAGTCTGCAGGCTGTATATGTCCCTTAATGTGTGCTGGGAGGCTTTTTGACCTCGGGTCACGGTGACAGTCGAGGAAGTTTGAGAGTTCAGCAAATCATGTATTTGCAGAGGTGAGGGAATGGTGCTGTTGACACCAGTTTTGTAGAGGTCAGTTCAGGGAAGCAGGATGACCTCCCTGGGCAGCAAAGGGAAACATGCCCAGCCCTGTCCTGCCTTAGGGAGAGGACAATGAGAGTTGGTGTGGGGGTAAGCTAGGAGGAGCTGGAGGCTGTGGGGCAGCTGCTGCTGCTGCAGTGAGCTCTGCTCCTCACTCTTCCCCATCCAAAAGTTTCCTGTCTTGTCAACCTTCTGCTGCCTGCTTGGAAAATGGGCACTGATCTGCTCTGGATTATTTGCTCTTCCACTAGTCTCACTCTGCTTCCTCCAGAGGTTATTTTCATCCTGAAAATCTTCCACAGCAACTACTTGGTTCTAGAATGATCCCCAGAGTGGTTCATATTAGAGAATGAAAGAGACTCTTTACCATTTCTATTAATAAATTTCATACCTCTAGTGTTAAACTCTTCTACTGAAACTGTTAGTTTGTGTGTCCATCCCACTGACGTCTCTTCTTATGGAGATGGGGAAGTGAATTCTTCCTTTCCATCCACACCAGCTGACTGATACTTGCAGCTTCATACTGTTCTCTCTAAAAACAGGTATGTGGCCATGGTTACTGCCGAGTGCTTCCTTTTAAGGGCCAGTTCAAACAGGCAGATTTAAAGCCTTCTTTAGACCGTTGCAGTATTGCAACAGGAGAATCAAAAACTAGGAAGGGAACCCCAACAGAACAAAGTTCATAGACACGAGCTGTTCAGGGAGGAATAAACCATCTAATTTAAACCTTGTATTGTGTCATAGTACAAACATGCCCCCCTCTTCCCTTTTTTCTTCCAGCAAAGGAGTACTTTTGAAACCTTACAGTGATTAATGATATTTGGGTTCTGTGGTTGGTTAGTTCCTGAATTCCCAAACCACAGGAGTGGTGGTTGCTCCAGAGTCATTCCACTGATGTAAGGAAAGGGTCTGCTTTAGATGTATCAAAAGAACCTTAATATCTCCAGGGACTAGGGGTTTGAGAAGTCATATGCCTCTTAATCATCTGAGGGAGAGGTGAAACTGTCTTTTAGTTGATGAAAGCCAGGGCAGTTCTTTCAGCTGGCCTGCTTTGTACAAAACAAGGAGAGCCTGAAGGTCCAGTGGAAGGGGCAGGACTGGAAGCAGGCAGGTAGCTGGTGCTTGTGGGATTTCCAGGGGGATGGTGTGCTGTGATGTTTCACACCTTGGTACTGAGTGTTTGAAGTGGCAGCACGCAGCACTTTGTAGCCAGAGGTTTGCCATTGAGACACATGATGGCACAGATGCTCTCACACACCAAACCCACGTGCCTGAGCAGTTACCCTTCCCAAGGATGTTTCCCTGCCCTGTTGGCATGCCCGGGACACTACTGCCAGGGGCCTGGACCCTGCCAGAGGGAGTGTCCTGCTCTGCTGGGAATCCTGCAGCTGCCAGTGCGTCTCAGTCATCCTGCCAGCAGCACTGTCCTCTTGATCAGAAAATAACAGTGGAGGGGGAGCTGCCTTACTTTGGAGGTTGGGAGATGGAGGATTTTTTCAGTTTATCTCTGATTCTTGGCTATAGCAGTGCAGTATCTGAGTTGCTATTAAGTTATGCACGTGAGGCTGGCTTTCTAACCCCCATTTAATTCTAATGGGTGTTCAGTGTTAAGCATGGTAAATGAGATTGAGACCACACTGTCCAGTCAAAAAAGCCAGTTTAGATCTAGCATTTAGTCTGGGATGTGTGTCAGTCTGGGGCTGAGATGAAATTCCTAGTTTTGAGTGTTGCTTAGTGGACATTAGCAATACTGGAAGTAGACTGGACTAAAGCTTCCCCCAGGATCAGATACCAAAGGCCCTGGATTAGTTTTTCATTGTAGCATTACTTTGAAGACTTGTTACTCTAGATGAATAACTTTGATGCAGATGATGTCTGTTCCCATGGCGATTAGCATTTGAGTTCCTTCCTGAGGGAATGAGAGGGCTGCCCAGGAGCACGGAAATCCTGCGCAGAGGGACATGTCCCTGGGGAGGGTGCCAGGTGTGTGCGCACACCTGCCGGAGGGCTCCTCACACACACACACACACACACACACTCACTTTGTGCAGCTCAGGCTGAGCCTCTCTCTAGAATTCAAAGCAAACATTTACATTCTGAGGCTCCTCTGTATTTATACTGGGCTTCCGCTCCACTGTCAATATTTGGGAAGCTGCTCCTGGTCAGTTCCTGTTGACTCTTACTGAAAAGTGGCTAGTGAAGCAGTAAATATTTTTGTGTGTGATTATACAGCTGGTGAGGGCAGACAGATCTCTTGAGGAACAGATCTTGTGATCTGGGACAGAGCTTGGTCTTTTGCTGCTTGTGCAGGGAGTAGCTACAGCCTCTGGTTGCAACAGCAGGTCCTAAAAGACTTCCCTTTCCATGGCAACTGGGAGACCAATGCTTGTTCCTCTACCAGGCTCCCAGAAAGGCAGACTTTTGCCAGGGAAGAGCTGGCAGAGGTGTGCTAGGCAAAGTGCAGCAAGGAAGTCAGAGTTGCAGAACAGCAGCGGTCCCTGCTCAGCTGCTGCTCTGGGAGAAGCACTCCCAGCCCTAATAAACTGGTATGAACTTTTCCTGTGCTTATTGGGTTTGAACAGTGTCAGCCAGTTACGTCATGGCCTTTGTGGGAGAGAACTGCATCAGCCACGGCTGCTTTGACAAACCCTTCTCTGGTGGTGAAAGGAGATGGTGGTGGCTGGTCTGCCAGAAACTTCAGGCTCCGCAAGGTTGTAACCATCAGCCCCTGGTGTACTTCTGGGAACTGGATGGTACTTGGTGGGGCTAAGGATGAATGCTTAAGCCTGAAACACTGTAAATGATGCTCCGTTGTCCTTGTGTCTTGCATCTGGGCTGGTAACCCAGAGGAGTGCTCTGGGACCACTGATGGATGTTGCTCTGTTGCCTTCTGCCCCGCCATGCAGTGAGAACCCTTTGCCGACTGTGGAGATTGCTATTCGAAACACGGGGGATGCTGACCAGTGGTGCCCTCTCCTGGAAACCCTCACAGATGCCGAGATGGAGAAGAAGATCAGAGACCAGGACAGAAATACAAGGTGCTGCCACTCGTTCAGACAGTTCTCCTTCTGGCCTGTCTCTAAGTTAAAAGCTTTGATGTTTGTCTTCTCTACTGAGAGCCAACTGGCAGGATTTCAAACTTGCACACCACAACAGAAACTCATATCCCTTTAGCTTCAGGATATTAAACTGTTATCACCTTGCTCCACAAACATTTAAATCTCTAAAATCTCTACTTTAACCATCTCCTGTTTGAAGCAAAGTTTCCTTTTTTCTTTTCTTTTTTTTCTTTTCCCTGGGCTCTCTGCTTGTGCAGGGGCACTTGTTTCTATAGGAAGACATTCATCAAAAACACTGGAGTTTCATGCACTGTTGTGCTACCTAGAACCCTGCCACAAGGCTTCCTTTTATGTGGGGTAGAGTGCTGTTTGAGGTAGGAACAGGCAGGCTCCCAGCTCCAACCTGACTGATGCCAACCTGTTGGGAGCACTGTTGTGAGTCCAGGAGGAGCTCTGCCTGACAGAGACCCGCTGAGCAGTGTTTGATAAGCAGTTGAGAGCACTTGCTCCTACTTGGTGAAATTGCTTGTGACATAGAAATGAACTGCTAGACTCTCTCCAAAAGATACTTTGTGGGAATGGTAAATGTGTTGGCTCAGCTCTTTCCCAGGATTTTTTTTTTTTTTAATTGCTGATTAACAGTTTCATAATTATTTTGCTTCTCAGCTTTGGTTGACTCAATAGTTTTCAGTAGCGATCGGCTCAATCCAAGTTAATGAGCAAAAGTGCCCTAAAAGCTGTTACTGAAAATAGCACCTTAGCCTTATCAACAGGGGCACTCTCAGGTGACCAAGGAACCCTGGCTAGGCAATAAACCTGTCTACAGAGCTCACAAAGCTGCAGCAGATTTTAATCAGACTTCCCACGACTGTAACACAGCACTTACTGTACCTCTTTTTCTCTCTCCTAGGCGCATGAGACGCTTGGCCAATACTGCTCCAGCCTGGTAATACTCCTGTTGTGACACTGGTGCTCTTCCTACAGACTTTATCCCTATTCCTCTCCCCAGATGGATCTAGGATTGGCAGGGGTCTTTGTCCCTGAAGGGAACACACATTCCACTTGCCAAGAGTTCCCAGTACTGCTGAC